CTGCCGCGTCGGGGCGGCACAAGACCACCATTTATTTATTGCTCTTTATTTAACCAGGCAAATCCCATTCAGATCTCAAACTCCTTTCCCCCCCCCCCCCCCCCCCCCAACAGAAATCACAAAAGGGATGAGCGCCCTGTCAAGGCAAATAACCTAGGGGAAACACTGCCTCCCTTGCAAGAAGTTTGAGATCTCAATAGGATTTGCCTGGTTAAATAAAGAGCAATAAATAAATAAATAAACTTTGAAAGACTTGAAGAATGTGGAGAAAAGTCTGTGTTCAAACAACCAGGTATTAGCGCTCCTTTGGCATGGTCAGCTTACACATCTGGTAAGGCAGCATTAATGAAATTCTCCCATCCAGATGGTGTCTTCTTGGCCTTGCATAGATCAGAAATGGGCTGCACCGACTGCAGTTTTCTGGCCGGTCACCGATTACTAAAAAGTCTGACCTGCTGATTCCGATTTTGTTTTCTAATCGACTCTGTCAGGTGTTATAACGTCACAATGCACCTTCAATGTTCCAATATTATTTTATTAAAAACAGACCCTTGAACAACATCCTAGAAACAATACAAACGTGTTTTAACTGGCCATGAGGTAGTGCTCTGAAATATAAATGAAGTTCAGACAATTGTTGTTAAAACTAAAACTATCTGTAAAATCTGTTTCTCATGCACCTCATGTTTCTCACCAAGTATCGGACGATTTTCGATTTCCAAAATTAAGGAAATCGGGGCCTAATCAGCAAGATAATAAACCTCAGACTGCATCCATTACACCAACATATTAGAAAAGTGCAGGTGCTGACCTGAGCTGACTCTCACCAACTGAAAACATCTGGAACATCATGACACCAAAAATCCATCAAAGACGACCCAAGAGACTGTTGAACAGCTATAACTCTCCATTAGACAAGAATGAGACAATGTTCCTGCCCAAAAACACCAGAACATGGTCGCACTGTCCCGACATTTTGGACACGCGTTACTGGCATCAGATTTAAAGATCTTATTTTAAAAAAGTACAGCTTTTTTGACATTTACTATTTTCTCTAGTGAATAAAATATGGGTTTAAAATATTTGCAAATCATTGCATTGTGTTGTTATTTATTGTTGTTGTATAACGGTGAACATCTGAACTTCTTTTACATTGGGGATTGTACCCCCCAGAGTGAACTTACATCTTCAAGAGGCGTGATGGAAGCACTTTCACCACCATAGTACGAGTTGCGGTCCATGTGCAGAACCTTCAGACCCTTCACAGACATGATGCCTGATAAGATGCATTCCTGGTAAGAGAGGGAGATGAAATCAATGCAAGAATATAGTTTGTCACTTTTTCTTTAATATTCTCGTTTTCCAACTTCTCTTTACATTGTTCTTGTTATAAAGACACAATCACATAAACATCAAATGGATTCTGGGGGAATATGTATAATAAATTTGTATTATTGTTATTAAAAGTGAAGAGTAAAGGAAACACACACCCTTCTGAAACCCCATTTCTAATGGCTCTAATCCACCAGTTGTACCACAGCGCACTGGTCACATAGATATTGTGTAAAGTTACTTAGCTTTGATAACAAAAGGCTAATTTGTGCTGGAGCTCACTTCAGCAAAGAGTTTAAGATGCAACAATGAAAAGACAATATAAATGCCATTTCATAAGCAAATCAATGACCATAAGAAAAAAACAACTAATAAAAATAGGAATATCAGGTTAATTTAATCCCAAGATTAAATTTTAGATGGGACAACCAGTTTAAACTTTGGTGATGTTGTCAAGCGTCACTTGTCATTGTATGTACAAACAATAAATAAATAAAAATCTTAGACAAAGAGTTAATAAAAAATAAACCCATACACTGAAAACTAGTCAAAGCTTATGAACTTTGAGTCAACAGAATCATTTAAAAAAGCTAAAAATATATATTTTTCAGAACCGAATAAGAAATGTTCCATATTCAAGATTGAATATAGTTTGATTGAACTCATTTGTTTCTGCAGATGCAACAAATCTTTTTTTCAATGTTTGATTAATGTTAATTGTTCATTTAACTAAATCTATAGTAGAGATAGATGCACCGGGGAATTGACTCGTGATTGGTAACAGCTGATATTCAGCCTGACCGGACAACGTGAGGGATTGGCAGATTAACACTAAAATATCCGTTTGTTTTTTCAGTCATTGAACGCACCCAAACTAGCATTGTGCAGCTCTGCTTGTTAGGAATGTTTTTACTAAGTGGAGAAACCATGGAGTTCACTGCATGGACCGTCTGTGGAGGATTTAGAAATAAAATAAAAGTTGGCAAGGCTGTCCAAATAAAATGCTTTCTATGAAGGTATTATTTGTTCAAATAGCTAACAGTCGGTTTGAGCTACAGCGTAGCAGACAGAACAACGGATCACACCTCTCGTCATTTTTCATTGTGAAACCCGTTGACCAGGATGAGGTAGGGACAGAAAATGCTTTTTTAGCAATGCCAGTAACAGGCAAACAAATTTTAGTCAGCAGAACGGCAACATTTTTAAATGTTAGTTTTACTTAAATGTAAACGTTTTTTTTTTCCTGTAGATCTGCTGTTGTCCCCCTCACCTGTCCTTTGCTCTGAATATGTTTGATTATTGATTAACAGCAGAAAGGATCATAGACAAATTAATGTATTATTTATGAATCAGTCTGAAGTCGGACTTTGTGGCTAAACTACAATAAAATGCTACTAAAGATTGTGGGTTCACAATGATCCAGTATTAAGGAACAATCAAAGTGGTTTTAGAGAAGCACAGACCGTCACTTTTCAATGAATCATTGAGGGCATCTAGTCAACAAACCTATTAGGCGTGGAGCTTTTCATTCAGTTGACAGAAGAAAATTGGCTGAGGGTGGTTTTGAAAAGTAGTCCAGGCTATAAGTATCATGTACAACACATCTGCCTAAGTGTTGTCTGCTGATGACAGACTTTTTTGAGGTCCTAGCAGGAGTGCTACAAGAAGACACAATGCTCCATACCTTTTTATTATTGTGGTGGACTACAGTATGTAGTGAGGCGTACCCTACAAAACCAAACATCTTGGCTTTACACTCAACAAAACTACTGGCAGGAGACAATACCATCCACAAACCATCATCACTGACACGGACTTTGCAGATGACCGTTGTCTGCTGTTGAACACTCTGATGCACAAATGGTTTCAACTCGCTTTGTAGTGGCAGCTCAAGAAGTGGGACTTCAAATGAATGGCAAAAAGATGTGAGTAATGATGTGTGATACTTCTGGGAAGCTGAGTGCGCTCACAGGAGACCGGATCAAACGGGTGAATTACTGCAGATATCTCGGAGCATGACTCTCCACTGAGAAGGAGCAAAGTGTCAGAACAGGTCAGGCTTGGTCAGCAATGGTCAAACTCAGTAAACTCACATTCTTCACTATAAAGTTCTATAAGGCAAACGTTGTCAGCAACATCCTACATCAACAGGACTCTGTCCCTGAAATGAAATTGGCCATGATAGATGAAGACGTGTGGGCTTGAACAAACTCAGCTAACTAATTTATTAAAAGAATGTTTAAGTTGCTTTTTTAAACAATACTTTGGACAAAGCTGCTAATTATTTTCTAGATATCCTGTAGGGAAATGTATATTTAATGTACAGTTGTGTGTACAAAAATACAAACGTTAAGAAACTGTAATCTTAACCCAGACGCATTATAAATATTTTTCTGTTGAGAAAGGAATTAGGAAAAACTCCTCAAATTATCTGGAGATTATTTGTAGATTTCCATTGGCAGAAAGAGAAAAGTCAGTAACGGTGTGATTTTTCACATTTCAGTTTAATCAAAACTTAGGAGAAAATATTTATGCTAAAAGACTGGTGCTGATAATAAATAAATACATTTCACACATTCCGGGATATTATAACATTCAATGTTTTTATACAGCAGACATGGGGAGTGGTGGAGCAGAGGTTAGAGAAGGTGGGCCTGTGATCAGAATATCACCGGTTCAAGCCCCAGTACCGACAACATCAAAAATGTGGGTGGGGTAGGTGAAACATCCACACCTCCCTCCACCCTCATTCGTCCCACTCTGGGCCCATGAGCAAGGCCCTTAACCCCCACCATCTGCTCCCTAAACAGGTCTCTAGAAAATGAGTTCTCGTGGCTCAATGAGACTACCTGTATAAATAAAGGCTAAATGAAAAATAATTAATACTCTGAATTTATCCATCCATCCATCTTCTTTACTTGCTTCTTCCTTTTTGGGTCCTGGTGCCCATATCCAACTATCACTTGTGTGAGAGGTGGGAGACACCTTGGACAGGTCTCCAGTCCATCACAGGGACACAGAGACAAATGAGACAAACAACCATTCACTCATTCACTCACACCTAGAGACAATTTAGAGTTACCAATCAGCCTAACATGCATGTTTTTGATCTGTGGGAGGAAACTGGAGTACCTGGAGAAAACCCACGCATGCACAGAGAGAACATGCAGACTCCTCCTAGAAAGGCCCTTGGCCAGGATTTGAACCAGGGTAACCTGCTCGCTGAGAGGCAGCGGCACTACCAACTGGGCCACCATGACGCTCCTAGCTCATGATTTTAGCTGTTATTAGCGATGTTAGCGTTGCTACAAGAGCAATTTCTGTCCCTACCTCATCCTGGTCAACAAGTTTCATAACTGAACTTGAAAAATGACAGTATCAATCAACCTTTATTTATACAGGTAAATCCCATTGAGCCTCGAGGACTCATTTACAAGAGAGACCTGATTTCAACAAAGAAAGATGACAACAATGGACAACAGCAACAACAATAAGCAGTTATAAAAACTCATACTACAGGTTTTTTTTTTTTTTTTTTTTTAACAAATAGGATGGCTAAAAGGAAAAAGGTAACAAAAACAAAAAAACAGCTAGATTCCAAGACAAATGTATAAAACTAAAAACAGGAACATGTCTGCATTGGTCCCTGCCAGGAGTCCAACAGATTCTTAAAGACACTTAGAGAGGTCAAGGTCGAGAGCTTCAAATCAAAACACAGTAAAAACACAGAGGTGTGATCCGTTGTTCTGTCTGCTACGCTGTAGCTCAAACCGACTGTTAGCTATTTGAACAAATAATACCTTCATAGAAAACATTTTATTTGGACAGCCTTACCAACTTTTATTTTATTTCTAAATCCTCCACAGACGGTCCATGCAGTGAACTCCATGGTTTCTCCACTTAGTAAAAACATCCCAAACAAGCAGAGCTGCACAATGCTAGTTTGGGTGCGTTCAATGACTGAAAACACAAACGGATATTTTAGTGTTAATCTGCCAATCCCTCACGTTGTCCGGTCAGGCTGAATATCAGCTGTTACCAATCACGAGTCAATTCCCCGGTGCATATCTAGTATACGGACCCTTTCCAAAAAATTTAAATATCATGGAAAAGTTGTTTAACTTAACTTTGATGGACTTTCAACCCCTTCACGGTGTACCCCGCCCCTCGCACAGTGATTGCTGGACATGGGCACCGGCGACCCCCGTGACCCAAAATGGAAGAAGCGTGTAAAAGATAATGGATGGATGGATGTTTAACTTCCATAATTCCATTTAAAAAGTTATTATTTAACATATGATAGATTCAGGGTCCACAATTTAAACAATTTCAAGTATTTGTTTATTTTTACATAATTTGGGCTTCCAGCTCATGAAACCCATAAAAACAGGATTTAAAAAATTAGAATACTGTGAAGAAATCAGCCCAAATGTTGCAGGGCATGAATGTTTTAAACTGAGTGTGACACTAATCATCTGCTAAACTCAAAGCACCTGCACAGGTTTCCCCAGGTGTCATTAAATTGCTTCAGTTTGGTTCAGTTGTCTCAGTTCGGTTCAATATGGGGAAGACTGCAGACATAACTGGCCAGAAGACCATCATTGATCCCCTCCATGGGATGGGTAAGACACAAAAGTTCATAGCGAAGGAGGCTGGCTGTTCATAGAGTGCTGTGTCCAAGCATATCAATGGAAAGTCTAGTGGAAGGGCAAAATGTGGCAGGAGAAGATGCACCAGCAAAAGAGATGATCGTGGGCTTCAGCGGATCATCAAACAGAGAAGATTCCAGAATCTGGCAGAGATCCAGGAAGAGTGGAATGAGGCGGGAGTCACAGCTTCAAAAACCACCACATTCAGATGCATCCAGGTGATGGGCTACAACTGTCGGGTTCCTTGGTCCTCTTTTCCGATGAAAGTAAAGTGTGGCTTTCATTCAGAAATCAAGGTCCAAGGGTTTGGAGGAAGAAGGGTGAGGAGCAGAGCCCATACTGCTTGAGGTCCAGTGTGAAATATCCACAGTCAGTCATGATGTGGAGTGCACTGTCCAGTGCAGGTGTTGGTAAACTCTGCTTTCTTGAGTCCAAGTTCACCGCAACAGTCTACCAGAATGTTTTAGAGGACTTCCTGATTCCTTCTGCTGAGGATCTGTATGGAGATGCAGATTTCATCTTCCAGCAGGACCTGGTCCCTGTCCATGCTGCCAGAAGCAGCAAAACCTGGTTTGATGCCCATGCCACAGTGAGAATCTATGAGGTATTGTCAAGAGGAAAATGAGGAGCACCAGACCCAACAACAAAGAAGAGCTGACAACAAGCATCAAGGAAATCTGGGCTTCCATAACTCCCAGTCAATGCCACAGGTTGATTGTCTCAATGTCACGTCACATCGAGGCAGAGATTAAGACAAAGGGATTCCCAACAAAGTACTGAAGACTGACTCATCATTTTCAAAGTACCATATTTTGAATGATTTGTTGTGATCCTAATTTATTTCTTTTCTGCAAAAACTGAGAAGTAGTGTGGGCTGATGTCTTCACAGTATTCTAATTTTTTCAAATCCCGTTTTTGTGGGTTTCATGAGCTGGAAGCCCAAATTATGTAAAAATAAACAAATAAATAAAGTCCATGCTCAAAAATCCAGGTATACAACCAGTTTGACACAACTGTCAACAAGGAAGCCGGCAATGGAGGAGGGGGCGTTCCAAAGAGACCAACTTAGCACCAACAAAACTGGTTTGTTCCACTTTGGAGTAAGATGTTAGGGGAAGAATCAGTTTTGTTGTGCGTTTCCTTGACTGATGAAGCCTTCTGGATCGAAGGCAAAACGTTTCAACACAAAAAAAAGAAACTGTCCACATGACCTGACTGAAACAAATAAATACTTGAAATTGTGGGCCCTGGATCTATCATCTATTAAAGGGTAACTTTTTGAATGGAATTATGGAAGTTTAACAACTTTTCCATGATATTCTAATTTTTTGGAAAGGGTCTGTAGATGTTAAATGAACAATTCACATTGATCAAACATGATTTTTTTTAATCAGTGCTGTATATTGGCCAGCTTTGATTTCAAAAGTTTTGCAAAAAAATAAAAAATAAATAAATAATTATATATATATATAAAAAAATCCACATCCAATTATTGTGTTTTAATGATGCAGTTACATTACTATTGTAAGTAAGACGAAAATTAATGAATGGAAAAAACTTAAAAGTCAACCAAATTTAGAAAGGAAAAATCTCAAAAATGCTGCTAAGACTTATGCTTTAGCTAATGTTAATAATTGTAAACAACTGCAGGATACTGAACTGTAAGACCTATTTTAAAACTAGTCAATAAAACACACTCACTACAGTGCTCCAACACAAAAAGAGGAAGGTGAAAGACATAAGTGAAGTTATTGATCTGCATAAGGAACTAAAACTATGACAGTTAACAGCCAGGAACAGGATTTTAGTTTGCATGTGTTTTGGCTGAAAACCCACTCTCTTCACTGAACTGGGCTTTAGAGTCTGTGCAGCTACTTTCAGTTCCAGTCTCTGCAGGGCCACACCCAAATGTGGCCTTAAACTACGCTGTGCCCACCAAACTTTAATCACACTTGTATTACATGGCTGTGTTTTAGTTTGTGCAGCCTTCTTCTAGTGTCAAGAATGATAATAATGAAGAGGATGGTGACTTGTCCTGAATCAGAAACTCCTAAATAGTTTGATTTAAATAGTACAGCGAGATTTATTAGATTGAGGAGTTCAGAAAATGTCATTTAGGCCTCAGGGTTGAGATGAAGCTGCTCACTGACCTGTAATAAACCTATCACGGGTTTTTCAGATGCTTCACATATAAAACTATCAGCAAGTCAGGAAGTATGTATGGACATCATTCTCTGTACATCAGAGGCCTAATGGGTGTTGACAAAGATAAAGTAATTATACCTTTCATACAGGAATGCCTCAACAAATCCTACATGTTAACAGTAACATATACAAGATTAAAACGACAAACAAAATTTAAAAGGTACAAGTTTGGTCCATTTCAGTGGTAAACTGAAATGGACCAAACTCAACAGAATTACTTCAACAGACCATTTAGCAATTTTTATTTGTAAAACATCAGTTTATATTAGCTTGAGGAATATTAAACTTGTGAACGACTTAATTTAGCAAGTTTTTAAGTTTATCGCACAAACCGGAAACTTCAAGAACGCTAAGATTAGCGAGACGCTTTGGTTATAAATACTTTCATCAAACCAAACGAGAAGAGACTTACACAAACAATAATCCTATTTTCAAGCACCACGGAAAACGAAGCCAAGACAAGGCGCTACTCTATCATTAGCTTAGCGTGCGCATGCTAGCGTTAGCGGACTTATCCGCCTCGTCCTTTTGGGACGGAATTAAAACTCTATAAAGTGACGTTGAACTTACAATACGCATTTATGCAATTGGGTAAATGAAAGTCGGAGTCAAAGTCATTTTAAACCAAGACAACAGAATGAGTTTTAACTTTCCTTGTGTTGGTTTCGTAAATCTTTTCACTCATAGCGATAGCTAAGCACAGGCTAATCATGCTACTGGGGTTCTATGTTGCGGCTCGCGCTCGGTTAGCGGAAAAGCTAGCTACTTAGCGTTAGCCGAGCCTAATGGGCCCAGTTAGCACAAAGTCAAGCTAGTTACAGGTTGCAGATTATGTTGCAGTGCTCAGCGCTTTCTCACCGTCAGCCCGGTGCCCAGGACGATAACGTCGTATTCCTCATTCATTTTTCAAATCTTTCAGTCTTCTGAACCTGGATATCCGGAGAGAGGAAAATGAAGGTTCGAGGAGCTGGAAATGTCAGGGCTACGGTTCAGCTTGAGGCGCCGCGGGGAGGGGCCGGACCTCTTGGCTTGTCAAACCCGAATGAAGCGCAGTTTACTACGTAACTTTCTACGTACCTGACGGAAAGAAAACGACGTAACCATTTTTTTGGGCGTAACCATTGTAACAGCAGAGGCGCAACCAAAATACAATGACACCTGAAAAAACAAGCTCTCTTTCATATATTTATTAAAGTCAGTATCAGCTATACTGACTGTCTTATGCCAGACAGGAAGTTTAAAAATTAATACTGATACCAACAAGTAAAAAATGCAGTCTTTCTACATTATTTACATTGCCTGCTATAACTTAGTTCAAGGTTGCCACGCCTGTTAAATAAATCCAAAGACTAAAACTAAAGTTAACTTCTATGTTGGTTAAAGCTTCCACATTTGTCTTCTGTCAGAAAGTAAACTTGTTTATTTAACCCCCCAAAAAAAGACATTATAAACCGTTTACAAATATTTATTACTCGTTGCAAACAATCCACATACATACAACAATACTCCGCAGTCTGTCAGAAAAACTACAACTCTGATGCCTATAAGTTGGGACATTGTGTAAAATGTAAATAAATGGGTGCAATGGTTTGCAAACTTCATTAACCCACATTTTATTGAAATGGAGGATAGTAAACATATCAAAGGTTTAAAATATGAACATTTATTATATTTTAGGAGAAAATAAGAGAAGCTGAATTTGATGGAAGGAACACAGTTCCAAAAGGTTGGGACAGGACCATGTTTACCGATGTGAGACATCTCCTTTTATTTTATTTTTACAACAGTCTTAACATTTGTCCCCATTCTTGTCCGACGTTAAACAGTCATGGGTTTCTTTTGTTGTATGGGTGCATAACCTGTATATACTTCCTGACATTTATTTTGCCTTTCAGGATGTGTAAGCTGCTCATGCCAGAGGAACTAATGCATCCCTATAACATCAGAGAGGCACATTTTTTAATTGTCCCATGATAATAGGCTATTTGGTCTCTCCTCTTTAGTACAGAGTATGTAACATCTGTGGTTTCCAAACATATTTTCACATTTGGATTTGTCTGACCACAGACCAGTTTTCCACTTTGTCTCGGTGTATTTTAAATGATCTTTGGTCCAGAGAAGACGGCAGAGTTTCTGGATGGTGTGCACGTATGACTTCTCTTTTGGATGATAGAGCTTAAGCAGCATTTGTGGGTCAATATGGTGAACTGTGTTTACAGACATTGATTTGTGGAAGGGCCACCCAAGCCGATGTAGTAATGTCCAGAACAGAATCAAACCTGTTTGTCATGCAGTGGCCCCTGAGGGCCCCAAGGCACTGCCATTTAATATTACCTTTCAGCCTTTGAAGCCTCAGACTCTTCAAAATCTTTAAAGATATTATGAACAGCAGCTGATGGGAAATACAAAGTCTTCTTAATTTTAGGTTGAAAGTTTTCTGAAATTGTTCCACTATATTTACAGATCAAGGTTCATGCTCAATCATCCTGGTGAAATAAAATCCAACACTGTTCAATCAGGTCATCGGGACACGTTCATCTTGTTGTTGAGAGACGTTTCACCCTCCATCTGAAGGGCTTCATCAGTCTGAGGAGTCACAAACAAACCGCTTTCCCTACTAAGCAGTACACTCGTACAGTGGACCAGCCTGTTTGCTGGTGATAAGATGGTTACTGGGGGCTGTCGACTCCTCCCAAGCTTCTCAGACTGATGAAGCCCTTCGGATGGAGGGCGAAACGTCTCTCAACAACAACAACAACAAAAAAGAAACTGTCCAGATGACCGGACTGAACATTGTTGAATATTTACAGTTTGTTACAGACTGATAAACCTCTGCCCATCTTTACTTCTGACTCAGCCTCGAAAATATCCTAATTAGCTAAAATGTTCCTCTAGCTGTTTTTTACTCATACCACTTAATGTTAGTCTGTTCTTGTCCAATTTTTGAGATATGCTGCTACCATCAAATTCAAAATAATTTTATTTTTTCTATAACAATTGCACAATTCCTTAGTTTAAACTTGTGACATGTCTACTATGTTCCATTGCAAATAAAATGAATTGTGGACAACGTTATAGTCTCCACAGATTAAGACGAAGCAGCTGCACGTCATGACGGAAGTGTAAACGATGAATGTGGCAGGCCACGCTCGAACACTCGCACTACGTCTGGCTTCTTTGCAAGCTGCTGCGCTCGTGTGCCAGACGTGTCCTCCGAGTCTCTGAGACCAACATCCAAGAGCGTCCTGGCTGTCTCCGCATGCTGTCCAATGCAAGCCATGTGAAGAGCTACCAGGGGAGAGAGCACAAGAAGCAGCTGAGCAGTGCACACCGTGAGCATGAACTCATCTTATGAAGTCTTATCTTCTGCACTGCAAATGTAAATATGGTGGGATTCTTCATCATTGGTCTTGCAAATATTTTCTTTTTGACAAAGAATATGCTAATAAAATGCTCAGGTCAGTTGGCTATGGCAGCCATCTTTAATCAAGTTAACTCCAAAGTTAATCAGTTGTAGATCTAATGATTAATACATATTATACACAACACACGCTGCCTCCCAGGTCTTCTGTTGGAGATGTCCTCCTGCAGCTCCTGCGGAACCATCATGGCTGAGTTGTTCTGAATTAATTTGCTGATCTGACACTATCTTCTTCTCAGTGAGATTGAAGTGTCCCTTATTGGCCGCTTCACATTGTAGCTGCAGGCGATAACTAGTTTGACTGTTGCAAAAATGAAGAGTGAATTTTATTTTATTTTTATTTTGGGGTGGGGGGGGGGGGGGCGCGTGGGTGCATTTGAAGTTGTGAGTAAATAATATAAATATAAGCACATCATGAAACTTGGAACATTGCTCACCAGTTCGTCCCTTTTTGTCCCGAACACAAAGATGCGCCCCCAGCTGCAGCAGAGTTTTTATCATGGACGTGTGGCCCTCCTGGTGGACAGATAAGCATGAGATGCTAAATTGTTTCAACAAACATTTTGTAGCCTCCAGTTCTTTGTTTAATACAGTTTCTAAAGGTAATCACCTACTCCACCACCAAGTCAAACCTCAGTAAATCATACATTCTCTTTTTCACCGTTCCCTGTCAGTGAGGTTACCAAACTGTTAAAAGATCTGGATACAAGAAGACCTGCAGGCCCTGATGACCTCCCTCCCTACCTCTTAAGTCTTGCTGCACAAATTATAGCAGAACCGGTGTCTTACATTTTCAATCTGTCTGTACAACATAATACTGTCCCAGATGCTTGGAAACAGCTTCTGTGCTGCCATTACTGAAGGAGGAGACCCCACTATACTGAACAATTATCAACCAAACTCTGTATTTTAGCTAAGGTTTTAGAAAAACTAATAAATACTCAAATCAAGAGTATTTGGACTCTTTGAATATTTTATCTTCTCTCCAGTCTGGCTTCAGGAAACAACACAGCACAATGACTGATTCGCTAAAGGTTTTTAATGATGTTCTTGAAGATTTGGATGCTAAGGATTATTGTGCTGCACTTAGACCTGTCCAAAGCCTTTCATACTCTAGATCATGACATCTCATGTCACAAGCTCTCAGACATTAGCTTCTCAGATCACACTGTTGCTTGGTTCTCAAACTATCCCTCAGGTTGGAGGCAATGTGTTCAACATAACATAACTTCATCAAGCTACCAAACGGTCACCAATGGTGTGCCACAAGGCTCAGTTTTAGTTTTAGGTCCCACTCTTTTTACAATTTATATAAATAATGTAGGTTTAAACATTCCTGATGCATCCTTGCATCTCTATGCCGATGATACTGTTATTTATTGCCGAGCTAACACAGTTGCCACGGTTTACCAGCGTCTACAGTCTGCATTTGACATCATTCAGTCAGACTCAAGCTGGTGCTAAATACTGACAAAACCAAAGGGAAGTTGTTTTCTAACAGGAAGTCAGTGCTCACAACTCTTCCTCCTATCACATCCATGCATGGTGTTGCAATTGAGTTTGTAGATTCTTACAAATATTTGGGAATTTTGGTTGCTGCACATCTGTCTTTTAAGCCACATATTGAAAACTTGATAAAAAACTGAAATTAAAACTGGGGTTTCTTTTTCAGAAATAGATCTTATTTAACTCTGAATGCCACAAAACACCTTGTAACCACTACCTTCCTACCAGCCATTGACTTTGGTGACATTATTTACATGAATGCTCCTGCCAGCTCCTTGCAGATGTTGGATGCTGTCTACCATGGGGTGCTAAGATTCATAACTGGTTGTAACTACTGTCCCCATCACTGCACCCTGTACTCACTGGTCAGTTGGTCATCATTATTCACATGTATGCTCTCACACTGGTTCATTTTCATCTATAAATCTCTCCTTGGTTTGCTACCGTCTTATATCTCCTCCCATATGTCACGTTGTCAGTGCAGTTACAACATGCGCTCTCAGGACATCATTACCTGCAGCGTTCACTCGAGAAGGGGGTCTCTGCAGACCAAAAGTGGGCGTTTCTGGCGAATAGGCGTTTATGGGCGGCGAACACTGATTGGCTAACATAATTTAATAGGCGTTTGTCGGCGGCGAACACTGATTGGCTGTGGGTAACCCTCAAAGTCACGAGGATTATTGATGAGGTAACGTTTCTTTGCGATATTTGACAAAGAAATATGGTTTATTGTACTTATAAAGTATGTTATGTTTTCACTTATGCATTTTATTGAAGTACGTTTATTGTAGGTCACGATAGTTTCGACCGTTCTCTCGTTGTTGTCGTAACGCACTGAGGTAACGTGAGCCTCCACTCGGCTCCTTTTCAAAATAAAAGCTGAAAATAAAAGTTCTTAATACTTGAAAAATAAATATTTAAAAGCTGTGTATAACTGAAAAAATATGAAAAATAAATAAATAAAAGTTGTTATTAGCTGAAAAATAAATAAATAAAAGCTGTTAATTATATCTATGTCTTTCTGCCATGTCAGGGACCACTCTCACTTCAGACTGACTCTAGAAGACCCCAAGATGTTGCCCAACAATG